CACAACAATAATTCTAAATGCTAACAAATATAAAACTCCAGTTGTATACAGATCCCTATTTTAACTTCATATCTACGTGTCAATTTTAGTGGAGCCAAAATGGGGATTTTTAGCTTGAAAATATAATGTAGAAACTATTTCCAGCCTATTTTTTTACTTTATTGTTGTATCTAGTTGTAGGCTTAAAATATAATCTTTGCATTTTCATTCAACTTGTTTGTGTACTTTTTTAACGATCCTTATTTAAATTAACAATTTTTAATTATCTTGTTTCTTACTTTTTTATGTTCATTTATGGAGAATAAATTTTAAGTTACATACGTTATTTTCCACCCAACCATTATTTAGTGAGCTAGGTGGTTTTGTGCCTGAGGTTTCGTGTAAACACACGTTTAACAAATGTCAAGTACAAAAAAAGCCGCTCACAACAACATCGCATAGATTATGTATTTATAGTCACGTAAATCAACTTTCAATGAAAAATAATCAACTTTTTATATAGGCCATGGACATACGCAGCGTTTCATATAGTATATCTGTCCAGATTTTGGCGTATAATACCAGCCAATTTTGTTGTAGGCTTGTGAAACAAAAATATTAATAATAATAAAATCATACTAAAATACACGCTCACAGTTTCAGTGGTTTGAAAATCAATAAAATAAATAGCCACTCACGAGAGTAGAGAAATCTACTGTGGTAATCGTTTACTGTTAGAAAACTCACTGAAGTAGTTGCAGAAAACCACATAGAGACAAAGTACAACAGCGAATCAAGAAACAATGAATAACAGTGAACTCGAGAAATGATGAATCCTCAACGCGGCAGTTTCCTATTAATGCGTTATAAGTTGCACAAACTATTTTCCAATTAATGCGTGCCCCTAGTGACACAGCGGTATGTCTGCGGACTTACAACGCTAGAAACCGGGTTTCGATACCTGTCGTGGGCAGAGCACAGATAGCCCATTTTGTAGCTTTGTGCTTAACTACAAACAAAACAAGAAAACAAAATCAATTAATGCGCATTAGTTAAAAGCCAAATTTTTTAAATGGCGGAAAGTGAAGGACTTAAATAGATTCTTCAGAGGA